CTTTCAGGTGGCCCGGGAAACACTCATTCTGTGAGTCTGATGCAGTGTTCACTGCCAGCTTCACTCACTGTGGGTACTTCCTGCCACTGAAAAGTCACAAAGTGAACACCCTCTTGCAGAGTAATAACAAGAGCTACACATAACTAATAACGCAACAAACCGTTACATGCCAGTGAAAGAGATTTGTTGTCCATGAGCTGTTAGAACACGGGGTACAGGGAAGCTTTTAAGTAGCAAGAAAAGCGCTACTTACAGGTTCTTTATTCAATTGACTACACGCACCACCCTCTGGGAATAACTTGCGCTCACTGGAAGAAATCTCTCCTAAAATGTCTTTCACATAGCTAGTAAAAACAGCTATACACATGTAATATGAAAGCAAGATTCCCATACAGGATGAAAGTTTCCCTCCTCGACTTCCTTTCAGGACACAGGCTGTAGGGAAGTAAAGAAACCTGAGAAAACAGCATTTAAATCTGTTAAAAGATTCACTACCTGATGACTCTCTGGATTTAACAATAGTTCTCGGGAAGGACTCTGTGCCTAAGATTCCTACAAGCTAGCAGGTAAGAGCCTCCATCTGGACGCTGAGTCATACTGAGAGTGGTACCAGTGCACGGGTGCTGAAGCCTTTCTGACTGCGTGTCATACGGTTTCCACATTCTTTGTGTGTGCAAGTTCTCACTAGCTACGTGGAGGGCATCGTAAACTCAGAGTTCTTTCACAGAAATGCTGTTATGCCCAGAGAGTCATACATATAGTGAATCTTTTAACAGGTTTATAGAAACTGTTTTCTCAAGTTTCTTCAAGCTTCACTATACCCAGGAAATAATGTGAGATCCTTTCACTCTGTATGTAAACTTTTGCTTCCATATTAGAGTTTCAGAGCTCTTGCTCCTAGCTACATGAAAGGAACTTCAGACGTGTGTTCTTTCAGTGAACTGACATTATGCCCGAGGAGGAGTGCGTGATGCCAACTGCCTAAGGACCTGGATCAGCATTGCCTCTCCTGCTCCTCAAAAGCTTCCCTGTACCCCATGTCTAAGAGCCCACAGATGAGAAAGTCTTCCCCTAGTGTAAATTCTTGCTCCCATATTAGGTATATACAGACTTGGTTAAAACTAAACTAAAGAAATTTTAGATATGGTGCTCTTTCAATAGAAAAAAGTCACTTACGGTGTGAGGCTAGTGGTGAATTGTTGAAGAGACCTGTCAAAGTGTTGTTTCTCAGGCCACTTGGATGCTGATCCACACTGAGATGTTTAACACTGAATGGATGAGAAAGACTCTCCAAGTCCTCTCCCCATGTTCCCAACATACAGATGTTCTTACTGACTACGCGGTAGGAATCTGAAGCTCAGAGTTCTTTCACAGAAAAGTTGATAGATTCAGAGTCATGCATGTAGTAAAAATTTTAGCTGTTTTCTTAGGCTTCTTCAAGCTTTGTTATACCCAATATTCTGAGAGGAGATACAAAGGACATTTTTTCACTTTGCCTGCACAGTGTTCCGTGGTAGAAGCTGTTGTCACTACCTATGAGAGAAATTGTAGACATAATGTTCTTACAATGAAGAAAGTCATGCTCAGTGAGGGATGTATGTAGTCCAGTGAATACGGGCCCTGTAGTCTTTTCTAATCAGAAGCCTAGTTACAGCCTGTGTTCTAAAGGCCATGGGCGAAAAGG